ATAGCCAATTTAAAAGCAAATAGGATTTTTCTGCTCTATAAAATACCGAGAAAAATCGAAATGTTGTTTTTGGATTCTTTCACCCTTATTTTGGGGGTGAAGTTCTCTTTTAATATGAAAATTGTATGCAGCAAAGTTTCATATCTTCATGTAAAGAGTATGGAACGATTTTTAAAAAATTTTTTCTAGCATTTGTGATAGATAAATTTTATTGACAAATGCGTAATTTTTAATTATTTGAAATTTTTTTCATTTAATTTGTAGGTATCAAGAGTGATCTGGTCGTCACTCGCACCAAGTCCACGTCCCACTTTCTGTTTCTCACTCTTTTTTACATCAACTCTCTCTCTCTCGCACTCCCTCATGACAGCGTGCAACAGCAGACACTCTTTACAAGAAATTTTATTCTCCCCCTTTCCTCTCAATTCTATTTTTTCTATTAAATTTTAAAGTACAGCACATACGCATAATTTATCAATAGATTTGCCATCCAATTCATCTATGAGCTTTTATTTGCAGCATTAATCATCTATTTATTGGAAAGATATTCATCCGTATAAATTGAAGTCTGAACTTTTCTGAATATTCGACAAAAGTCAAGATTCTCAGATTTCTTGAGTTGGCAACTCTACATCAATAGATCACATATGAGAAAAATATTCATAGGTCACGTACATAGGTCTAAAGTAGCAGTAGATACTCGGCGCCAAGTGCACATTCACCTTCTTTCTTTCTTCCTCTGTTCCTTACTAGTGCACTCTTTCCCCCATGAGCGCCGAGGCAACCGACTACTCTATACATGAAAAATTTTGTGTGACGTAATAAACGCATATTCATATGCAAATATCTTTATAATTACTACATATAATGCTTTTATATTTGATAGGTAGTTATTATATATCATAAGCTCCCGATCAAACGTTAAACGAGCATTTTTCGTTAATTATTGACGGAGTTATAAATAAGCCACGCCCCGAACAGCAATATTTCTGCTATTCAAGATTTTTTCGCTTACTTTTTACTCTACTTCATCGAGCGTTCTATCATGTGTTGACTCTTACTGAATGTGTCTTACGTCACTCACTTTCACGTTGGAGTTCCTACAGTGCCCTCTTTCTGGCCTTATGAATTGTTATCACTCTCTTTTACCTTAACTTTGTGATATTTTCTTCTTTCTTGCCTAACAAAGAGACATCTATGTTCTAAAAAATGAAGAATGTTTCCCGCGTGTTGCATATCGATTTAAATGAATTTTCTTAGGAATTATTGATGAAAAAATGTTTTCAGCAATTAAATGAAGAAATAATTGTTTGTTGAATGATTATAACAAAATAGTACTCGTATTATTGACTTTTTTATGTTGAACTGTTTTCTGTCGCAAAGAAATAAAAAAAAGGCTAAATTATGTTTTTATAGAAACATGTTTCTTGCAGAAAAATTCTATGAATGCAGATAAAAGCAGATAAAATTCCAATTTATCCATAGAATAATTTGTACACTCCTATCTTCTATCAATGTTACTAGTCTTTTTCAGAAATTTATTCGTATAAATGATAGTCATTTCAGTAACAGCATTCTAAGCTTGTAATGATTGTGTAACTTCTTTCGTTTATTTGTCTAGGTCAATAATTTCGATTTTCAAAAATTTTATTAAAAAAGATGTTTAAATGAAATTAAATTGTTATCATCGTAGCAATCTCACAGTGAGTTTAAAGAAAAAATTTCAGGCAACCATAGGGACTGGTGATAAAAGTGAAGCTTAAAACTATCATATAACAATAGTTTGTTTGAATTTTTGAATACATTGTAGTATAAAGAATTGAAAATTTATAATTTGTGAGTTGAACTTATTGGTATTAGTCCACGTTTTAATATCTATCATAGCTATAGACATACCATTAACGTTACCATATCGGTAACGCTGATGGTTTGGTGATGTAAACTTAGAAGTTTGTCTCCTACTAAAAATTGCTCTAATGCGCCTAAAAAAGTTTAAAAAAGGAGTAAAATTCGAACAAAACAGGAATCTACGAATGCCTGTAAAAATTGGCGCCAAGTCCACATTCAAGTAGAATTAGTATAAATGAAAAAAAGGTACGATCAAAGAAATATGTGAAATCAAGTAAAATGCCAAGTTAGCCGCGTCTTTTCTTCATAATCTTTTCAAACTAGTAACGTACTATTGACTTATGGAATTTGAGTTAATTTTGAATTACAAAAAAAAATTATCTTCAAAATCAAAAAACTATGGAACTTGGCCTATTTTTTAAGATTTCATTAACAGTTCCATATATTATAGTTCTTCGTACATAAGGACATTTAAAACTTGATTGGGTAGACTTTAAAGCAAAATTGGGCCAAATTTCACAGTTTTTTGATTTTGAAGATAATTTTTTTTTGTAATTTAAAATTAACTTAGATTTCATAAATCAATAGTACGTTACTAGTTCGAAAAGATTATGGCAAAAATACGTGGCTAACTTGGCGTTTTACTTGATTTAATCCACAAAAATGACTAAAATCCTACCCAAACCGACTTCACCAGATGTCGGTAAAATTTGCGCCAAGTCCAGGTCCGAAGTGACTCCGATATAGCAACATTCATATGTGATAGACTATTGGAATGTTTGGATACCAAAAATAATTAAAATCACATGAAATGCCAAGTTATTTATTAAATGGAATAGACTCTTTTCGCTTCCGTTTGACAATGAAAAACTAAGGATTTTTTGAAAATCATTTTCATCTTATTTCATATATTATTCTTGGAATTTTCAAATAATTGGGCCAAGTTAATTCTTGGTATTAAAAAAAAAAATTTTTCAAAAAATTGAGATAGTCATTTTATAAAGCGAAAAAATCCTAAAAATTTTTTTTTTTTAATTTCAATTGGAAAATGTTCAGAAAACGACTCTGAACATTCCAGAATTTTTCCAGTTTTTTTTACATGTTGGAAATATTTTATTTTTAAATATTAATTAAAAAGGCGCTCAACGGCATATTCTGCCGGAGCACCCAAAATGCTCGATTTTTAGCGCGCCTTCGTGGTGCTGTACATTTTTACCTGTTCACGATAGACAGGTGCTCTTGCGGACTTTTTTGTAAAGAATTTGATTCTCTACGAAAAAGATATTACCTTCTTTTTCATATCTCTTACCGTTATCGCTATGTAAGCGATGAAAGGTGGAAAAACACAATTTGCCAAACTTCGACACTCGATAAACAATAGTAATTATTATTTCCTAAGAATAAAAAATTTACACAAATACTCTCCTCATCATCCCCTACAAGAATATCCAACCAAAAAGTTTTTACTATCATTCTATAATTAATGCACGATAGCATAGGGTTTAAATTCACGGCTACTTAACTATATGTAAGGTTTGAATGAAAGCGACGGTTAATCATTAGAATTAGAGAGGCTGGATGATACATGGATATCATTAACCCAGATGATTAGAGAAAATTGGAGCTAGGCCTAAGTAATTAAATTAATTAAAACTTTGGATTGGAGAACGCCAATCTAGAAGCTTCCAAAGGATGCGCGAAAAGCATCTTGAAAAACGCGGACTAGGACACAAGAGACACTCTCTTCCGAATTTTTACTGGGCACGGTGCAAATCTGAATTCCGCTTGATTTAAACTCAGAATACTTTTTTAATTAATTCCTAATACAACTTCAAAATTCAAAGCAACTGCAGCCTTCCACTCCTATACAACCTTCTGCTACCTAGCTACCTGTTAGCCAAGCTGTAAAACAATTCAGTGAGTAGAAAGATGACAGAAATTAAATAAAGAATTGACTATCATAAAAACAAATCTCTATCTTTTTTTGAGAAAAATGAATGCACCAGTGTAGTTTGTAAAGCCCTAAGAACCTTTTCTATTTCTTTCATTCTCCATCTAAAACATATTCTGCATGGTCTCCGCACCCATGATGAGTAGAGGACGATTGGGTCTTGACTCCGTCAAGTTAGCTTGAATTGACTGAGCCCCGAGTAACGTTTTGGGCGATTTTTATACAGGTAGACGTTAGGCATTGGCCCTATCGGTTTCCAAGAGAAAATTGAGGACATTTGTGGAAAAGTACTGGATTTCCAAACATCAGACTCAGCATGATGTGCGGTCATTGTTTGTAAATACCCAGATACTTTGAAGGATTTCGTATCATTCAACGAAAGAAATGCAGTATGATCGTGTCCTAAATAAACGATGCTTTCGTGAAGCTCAACAATATTTTAAAAAATCTGAGGTCAACGACCGCCAATTAAACCTTCAAATATAAAATTTACATTTGATATTCATATTATTAAGAATGAACATTGAAAATTATTTGGTTTAAAAGAGTTAAATCAAAACTCAATAAAGTTTTATAATTATTATTAATATATTTCTTAGAAAGTGTGAACTTGAATTGTTAAAGTTTGTTTGCTTTGAAGAGTTATATTTGCTAATAGCTAATAATTGTAGATTAGGAAAGTCTTGTCAATCTCTAAGGGTGGAGTAGAAATATTTCTCAAAATGTTTTTTGTTTTTGCTGAAATAAATATTTTTCTTACATCCCAAATTAAATGGACATTGTTATTTCTGACTTTGACGTGATTTAAAGAATTCCAAAATGTATATTTAAAAATGGAAAAAATTTAAACAGATCTTTTTATATCTAAATAGATGAAATCAAAATATATATTATTAAATCTACTTAGATATAATTTTACATATTTAGATATAATTATTTATTTTTAGATATCTTTAGATCAAAATTTATCTTTATTCATCAGTCTCAGAATACAGATAAAATTTGATCAAATTAAATCTAAAATTTCTTTTCCGGGCAGCTTATTCTACATTTAAATCAATAAATATTTCAAGACAATTGACAGTAAATCCGACTGATTGATTTAGATTCATTTTGCACTGCTTTGTGAGGCTAACGCCACGTGCACAATCATCATTCAACTAAACTTGTGAAGCGTGTTGAGCTCGTGGACTAGGTCAATAATACCGAACACACCAAGTTCCGTTATCTTCGTAGACATTCAATTATCGTTCACTTTATTATAAGTTAACATTCTGTGCTTACAACCAATATTCATCAAGTTTTAGAGACATTCATTCATTCATACAGTGAAGTCGAAGTGTAGAGTGTATAATTGTTAGTAATAAAAAAAAGGATATTACATTTTCATCAAGTAAGAGCCGGGGAAGAGGCCGAAAAAGGAGCAGTTGAGCAAGAAGATGAGGTTGAGACTGCAATTCCTGTAGTGATGACCGTAGAAGAAGATTTCCAGAAGGATCTAGATGGAGCGATCAAACAGATGGGATCATTTTCGGTTGACAGCGCTGATGACGAAAAGATGGAAGTGGAAGATTCCGAAGGAAAATGTTTACTTTAGATCTATTATACTCATGATTTTCTTAGAAATAATTTTTTCATGTTCCGTTTGCGCTTAAAAACGCGAAAGTTTGTATGTATACTTAAGATAGCATGTAAAAAAAAACTAAGCTGCAAAGACACCTTCAGAGAAAGGTTGCGGAAATTCAAAGCGTTAAAAATATTTTTTTTTGAGTTTTTAAGATAAATATAATAAATTTTGTATCGAGTATCCGAAGTAATACACTTTTGTAATTGAAGTTGAGTTTTATACTAATAAAATTATTCATTTCACTATGTTTGATTCAATCATATGACGTCTATATTAGTGACTTGTAAGCATAATGAGTATTGTCTTTAGAGAAAAGATAAGTTGTAAGAAAAAAATTGTAGTAGTAACTGTGAAACTTACAACTTAATTTTTTTTCCCTTAAACTTATAACTGGGGTCCAAGTGGACCCCATTGTTTTCTTGATCATAAATTCGATTTTACAGTTAATAAACACATTTTGCTATACACTATTTTTTTTCTTTTTTTATAAGGAAGAGAATAGTGTGCATAAATTTTAATTTTAAACAAATTCAGTACATAAAAACTTAATAAAACTCTAAAAACAAGAAAAAATCAGAAAAAGCTCATTCATTAAACAAAAAATTGTAACTTTTGTACTCTTTAAGCCATTTTGTAATTTCCTACGGCGTTTTAAATGGGAATTCTCAGGCTCTAGAGAAAAAATTATAGTCACTTTTATTTATTTCATCGAAAATGTATATTTATTTAGATACTTGAAAATGACAGAACTCAGCAAATTAAAAATTATATGTTAAGTATTTTTTTTAAATATACAACAACTAGAAGTAGTACCGATCTGACATTGCTTAGACACCTTCGAACTAAATTAAAGTTCAGACTGGAAGTCGATATTATAGTTCGCTACTGCAGGATCGTAGTTCGAAGTTTGCGTGGGGTCTATTTGGATTCCAGTTATTAGTTTAAGGGGTAATAATATTTACATGATCGTATAATATTTTTTACTTTGACCGTCGATCGTGCACACATTATAAGATAATACGGTAATTTTTCTAAAAATTTTTCTACAAAAATTATATGATTATTCTTACCGTGTAGAAACATCAAATGTATTAATGACTTACGATAATTTAATTAGACGACATAATCAGGATTTTTATTCTTGTCTAAAAAATTTTTTATTAGGACAGATATATTAGAAATGATATTTTTTGGAAAAATTAAGTACAAAAATAATGTCATATATTCGATTATTTCATTTAATAAAATGATTGGAAATTATTTATAAAGTATTAGGTTATTACAGATATGAAAAAGATAAGAAGTGTTTTTTTTTGGGATACGAAAAATAAAATTTTCACAATTAATGTCAATTTAAAAAATGTCAGCGTGTTTTTGTTAAAGAATTATGAAAAATCATAGAAACTAGAATAAATTAGAAATAATTGACGAATTAAATTTAAGAGAATTTTGAATAGTTTCACAGTAACTAAGAGTCTAATTTATTCCAATTCGTTGACAAAAGTCAACTTTGCATTAACCTCACCGTTTAAGGATAGTCATGAGTGTGCCGGAACAGAGCTAATTAGGTACTCAGGTCGTATAAAAATATAACACCTAAAAACATATATCTCGAATATAAATATTTCAGATCGAATTAGAGTTGAATATGAACTGAAATTTTTACAATTCCAGAAAAATTGAGAGCAAATTATAACATTCAAATTTTTAAAATCCAAAGTGTGTTAGCAATATATTTACGTAGCGTTAAATTTGTAATATTATCAAAAATTTATTATCAATTTCAATTCAATGAAGTAATCTATAAAAATTATGGAAGAAGCAATAAAACAATTAATGTTACGTTGAAAGGTTTTACCAATAAGTCATAAATCATCTGTATCTTGTATACATGCAAAGCTGATTGTTAAAATATCTCTAGTAAGGATCATCTATCGACATACTCAGTAGCAAACAAAACGCTAGTTCTCATATCCACTAATAGTCTTCTTCAAATAATGTTTATACCATTGTGAAAATTCAATTGCCAGTTGAACGTAAATCAGTGTTTAAATTGTGGTTTCTGTCTTAAATCAATTAACTATTGGGTTCCTCATCTCAAAGTGTACATTCTGTAGATTTAATTGCTGCTAATTCAAGGTACTATAATTTTATTTAAAAATGTTTATTTCGTTTTATTGAAACTGCTTTTTAATATACGACTTTGAAAAGTCACTTTGAAATTGAATTGAAATTGATTGTTAATTCAAGGTTAAAATTAATTTATTGGAACAATTGCAATAAAAGACACAAACATAGACATCTTCGTTTTTGCCGTAGCTTTCCAGCCAATAGACACGGAAAGAGTACAGGGATCTTTGATTGTAAAAATTAATTAAACCAGTAATTTAATTTTAAAGTGACTTTAAAATAATGTCATGTAATGTCTAAATGTATTTTAATTATTTTACATAATTATTTAAAATATATTTTAAGAAAAGCTAAAAATGAATAGCAATAAACTTAAGGATTGAGGTTAACGATTATTACTCAAGTTATTTTTTGAGTTTTCCTAAGATTTCGTTAAAATAGAAAAGATTTCGAAGAATAGTTGAGGAAGTCATTTTTTAGATATTTTATTGCTTTTGGAAAACCCACGTGGCGAAAAGCAATAAAACTTTAAAAAAAGAGTACGTGACGTAAGAAGAGCGTTAAGCTTTTCCAAAAAGGGAAAAGACCATGCGAAGGGACTTGTGCGCGCCTGAAGCAAGGGACTTCTAATTATGTCACATTCGACTAAATAAATACGTAAGGTTTGATGCATCAGTCAGTTGTCGAAAAAGTAAGATCGAGATCAGATCGTCGTGAAACATCTCTTGAAATCGTAAGTCTTGAGTATTGCATTGATAATACTTCAAAGTTTGTAAATTTTTGTATGAAGTTTATTTGATCGTCAAATTATTTTTAAATTGATATTTAAATTAATTCGCGAGAAAAAGTGAATAATTGCGCTGACTGAAACATCGAATAAGGACCAATTAATTGTAATTCATCTCGACCAGAGTAATAGAAATCATCTGTGTTTTATTGGAAGATGTCTTAGAATGTCCCGCCTTCCCCTACACTTAGCCACAGGGCCATTGTACAGGGTCTGTTTGCACAGTAAAGGCGGTCGTCTTATGTCTTAGGCCTGCAGGTTCCCTAGGTTCCCAAGTTGCCTTGGTTCCGTTCTGAGCCCCGAAACAGTCCCTGTCGATTTCCTGTATATATATATTATTGGTGGTACGAAAGAACGTTATTTCTGCCTTTGGAGATTCCGCTAAGCCCCATGGGTCCCCCGGTTTCCTCAGCCTTAGGTAGGCAAGATCTATAGGCCTGGTGTCAACCTAAGAGGTCGTTCCAGTTTCACAAGAAATCGTCCTACCCTCGGAGGCCTCCCGCTCATCGTGGTCAGAGAAAAGACTATATTATAAATGGGTCTTGTCTCAGCCGGGAATCGAACCCGCTACCCATAGTGCGCTAGGCTGGCACCTTACCACTTAGGCCACGATGTCGGTGGAATCATCTGTTGGTAACGTTTAAATTGTTGTTATAATTTTTCAATAATTTTCATTCAATGAAATTTTGTTATTGTTTTTATATAAATCACACATTTTTACTTTCTCTATCGAAGATCCCCTCATCCCTGTCTATTGGTCGAAAGGCTAGGACTAAAAAGAGGAACTTAAAGTCTCTAAGGTTAAGCATATGGTTTACATATTGACACCTTTAAAGAGCAAAATTACATAACAGTCATATTTTCGATTATTTCACTTAATAAAATGATTGGAAATTATTTATAAAGTATTAGGTTATTACAGATATGAAAAAGATAAGAAGTGTTTTTTTTTTTATACGAAAAATAAAATTTCCACAATTAATGTCAATTTAAAAAATGTCAGAGTGTTTTTGAATATACGACTTTGAAAAGTCACTTTAAAATTAAATTACTGGTTTAATTAATTTTTACAATCAAAGATCCCTGTACTCTTTCCGTGTCTATTGGCTGGAAAGCTACGGCAAAAACGAAGATGTCTATGTTTGTGTCTTTTATTGCAATTGTTCCAATAAATTAATTTTAACCTTGAATTAACAATCAATTTCAATTCAATTTCAAAGTGACTTTTCAAAGTCGTATATTAAAAAGCAGTTTCAATAAAACGAAATAAACATTTTTAAATAAAATTATAGTACCTTGAATTAGCAGCAATTAAATCTACAGAATGTACACTTTGAGATGAGGAACCCAATAGTTAATTGATTTAAGACAGAAACCACAATTTAAACACTGATTTACGTTCAACTGGCAATTGAATTTTCACAATGGTATAAACATTATTTGAAGAAGACTATTAGTGGATATGAGAACTAGCGTTTTGTTTGCTACTGAGTATGTCGATAGATGATCCTTACTAGAGATATTTTAACAATCAGCTTTGCATGTATACAAGATACAGATGATTTATGACTTATTGGTAAAACCTTTCAACGTAACATTAATTGTTTTATTGCTTCTTCCATAATTTTTATAGATTACTTCATTGAATTGAAATTGATAATAAATTTTTGATAATATTACAAATTTAACGCTACGTAAATATATTGCTAACACACTTTGGATTTTAAAAATTTGAATGTTATAATTTGCTCTCAATTTTTCTGGAATTGTAAAAATTTCAGTTCATATTCAACTCTAATTCGATCTGAAAATATTTATATTCGAGATATATGTTTTTAGGTGTTATATTTTTATACGACCTGAGTACCTAATTAGCTCTGTTCCGGCACACTCATGACTATCCTTAAACGGTGAGGTTAATGCAAAGTTGACTTTTGTCAACGAATTGGAATAAATTAGACTCTTAGTTACTGTGAAACTATTCAAAATTCTCTTAAATTTAATTCGTCAATTATTTCTAATTTATTCTAGTTTCTATGATTTTTCATAATTCTTTAACAAAAACACGCTGACATTTTTTAAATTGACATTAATTGTGAAAATTTTATTTTTCGTATCCCAAAAAAAAACACTTCTTATCTTTTTCATATCTGTAATAACCTAATACTTTATAAATAATTTCCAATCATTTTATTAAATGAAATAATCGAATATATGACATTATTTTTGTACTTAATTTTTCCAAAAAATATCATTTCTAATATATCTGTCCTAATAAAAAATTTTTTAGACAAGAATAAAAATCCTGATTATGTCGTCTAATTAAATTATCGTAAGTCATTAATACATTTGATGTTTCTACACGGTAAGAATAATCATATAATTTTTGTAGAAAAATTTTTAGAAAAATTACCGTATTATCTTATAATGTGTGCACGATCGACGGTCAAAGTAAAAAATATTATACGATCATGTAAATATTATTACCCCTTAAACTAATAACTGGAATCCAAATAGACCCCACGCAAACTTCGAACTACGATCCTGCAGTAGCGAACTATAATATCGACTTCCAGTCTGAACTTTAATTTAGTTCGAAGGTGTCTAAGCAATGTCAGATCGGTACTACTTCTAGTTGTTGTATATTTAAAAAAAATACTTAACATATAATTTTTAATTTGCTGAGTTCTGTCATTTTCAAGTATCTAAATAAATATACATTTTCGATGAAATAAATAAAAGTGACTATAATTTTTTCTCTAGAGCCTGAGAATTCCCATTTAAAAACGCCGTAGGAAATTACAAAATGGCTTAAAGAGTACAAAAGTTACAATTTTTTGTTTAATGAATGAGCTTTTTCTGATTTTTTCTTGTTTTTAGAGTTTTATTAAGTTTTTATGTACTGAATTTGTTTAAAATTAAAATTTATGCACACTATTCTCTTCCTTATAAAAAAAGAAAAAAAATAGTGTATAGCAAAATGTGTTTATTAACTGTAAAATCGAATTTATGATCAAGAAAACAATGGGGTCCACTTGGACCCCAGTTATAAGTTTAAGGGAAAAAAAATTAAGTTGTAAGTTTCACAGTTACTACTACAATTTTTTTCTTACAACTTATCTTTTCTCTAAAGACAATACTCATTATGCTTACAAGTCACTAATATAGACGTCATATGATTGAATCAAACATAGTGAAATGAATAATTTTATTAGTATAAAACTCAACTTCAATTACAAAAGTGTATTACTTCGGATACTCGATACAAAATTTATTATATTTATCTTAAAAACTCAAAAAAAAATATTTTTAACGCTTTGAATTTCCGCAACCTTTCTCTGAAGGTGTCTTTGCAGCTTAGTTTTTTTTTACATGCTATCTTAAGTATACATACAAACTTTCGCGTTTTTAAGCGCAAACGGAACATGAAAAAATTATTTCTAAGAAAATCATGAGTATAATAGATCTAAAGTAAACATTTTCCTTCGGAATCTTCCACTTCCATCTTTTCGTCATCAGCGCTGTCAACCGAAAATGATCCCATCTGTTTGATCGCTCCATCTAGATCCTTCTGGAAATCTTCTTCTACGGTCATCACTACAGGAATTGCAGTCTCAACCTCATCTTCTTGCTCAACTGCTCCTTTTTCGGCCTCTTCCCCGGCTCTTACTTGATGAACGTTTTGGAAGTTGGCCCAGTTCTTGAGATGACGGTTTAGCTCGGTGAGTGGAATCGTGCCTAGTTTCTAACTTTTAACCTTGATAGCTTTTCTATTATATTGTATTGCTCCTTGTAATTGTTGACAGCTTTAATAATTCTACCTCGGCACGTACCACAACGAACATCTGGTTTACTCAGCAAGCGGCGGCGTGTTTTACATAGCATTTTTACCGACAGATTCTTTGATTCTGTATAATCAAGATCGTGTAGCCAAGAACAATCTTCAGTCTTGCAGCACTACAAATCTTACAAAATTCTTGAATAATTAATACTTCGGGACGACCCTGGTTGGTGTTGGCCTCCCGTAGCCAATCTCCTCTCGGCCTGTACCTCGAAGCATGAATTGCTCCGTTTATAATAACTTAACAAAACTCATTTTCATTAACAAAAAACATTATATATATACATATATATAACCAAACAATCATGTAAATAAGCTAAATAAGCTATTCATTTCACTTTTTTAAGTGTTTTAAGAGACAGAACATGAAAATATGAGTTTTTTTTAAGCGTGTAAAGTTTCTCAATGTAGATGAGGACTATGCCGGGTCCCAAGAAGTAATCAGAGACAATGAGTAAGAACTTATGTATTGTACAACTTTATTTTTAACAATCACTTAGGGCTGGGCTATACCTAAGAAAAGTTCCGAAGTTGACTTTGCGCCCTCACGTTGGGCGGCAGAAGACCGAAGCTCGATTTTAATTGAAATTGAGTAGCTCACAGGAAAATTTCTCAAGAAATGATAATTTTTAGGAATGCACTAAAAAAAGGGCGCCTTAGAGTACCAAAAAATATACAAATTCTTCAATAATCTTTTCCAAGCAAGACAGAGCATAAAGTATATACATCCATCTCCATGTTATTCATCAGAGAGAAGACTGCGAGTTCTCACGCTTCGTCGGCAAGCTTTATCCCCTCTCTCCGTACTCAAGCGAGTAGCTTATAACTTATAAATAAAAACAATAGAAGGGTTAATGTATGAGCTCGGCAGACAGACGGTAATGGAATTAGTCCGTACAGCCAGTTTTCCTCCTCACAGGCGATGGCCTTCTGGGCGTGAGGAACGAAACTATACATCTTGGTTTCGTTAAACATTACCACCTTTGCAGTGGGCTAACCACCCCTGCAAAGGACATAAACAGGTTCCTCAACATATACCTGCAACGGCCCCCCACAACCGCCCCTTTTCGAATGAGGGCTATGGAACAGTTGGGAGGGGTCGTACGATACGTGCCTTTTCAAACGATCACGGACCACCCCTACAGCGTCTCAGGTGGACAGAGGATAGAAGAAGAGTCAGACTCTGACTCTTCAATATCAGACGCTTCAGAGACTGAGGACGAAGTCTCACTGGCACCCGAGACAGCCGCACCGCGGTGGAGCATACTCCCGTTCCGCCCTTCTCTCACTGCAGAACCCCCATCTCCTCCCCCAGAGGGCACCAATCAACAGGACTTCACCAACAGAGAGGGTTATTTTTTTCCGGAAAATTAGGCTCTCTGCAGAATATCTAGCTAGCGCTAACCAAGATCTCGACCATCGGGTACCAGATAGTGTAGACCTTTTTGCACTCAACAATGCAGTCTATGATGTGGCTCGAGGGTTAACTCAGGGTAGACGAACACCTGTCAATCCTGAGTTAAGCCTGAAAAAACGCATCGAACAGATTGCAATTTAAATCAGAAAAGCTCGACAGAGTGCATTTCGTATTCGAAGTGTGATGGATCACTTAAACACTCACAGACCTTATACGCCGAGAATTTGGCGTATCGTGGCGAGTATTAGACGTGAACATCACACTTTGAAGATGGCCGTGTTACTGATTCTAAAGGAGAGGTACACAGGCAAAATAAGATCGCTAATGGCCATTAAAAAGTCATTAGCAAAGCGGTAGAAGCGGCAAAGAGACAACAGATTGTTCCAATCTGACCCTTTGCGCTTTCTTAAGCCGCAAGCCCCTGTCACTTATAAGCCTCCAAGTGCAGAAAGAGTCAAAACCTACTAGACCGAAATATATGGTCGCGCTAGTGCGCTAGATGTAGACACTCCAACCCTTCAACTTTTCAGAGAATTCTGTGACGAACATCTATTACGAATTCCTGAAGTGTTTCAACGAGCGGGCATTGATGAGATCAGGAATGCTCTAAGGGGCACAAAGAACTGGGCTGCCCCTGGGCCAGATGCAATCCCCACCTTCTGGTGGAAGAAATTGACATCATCCCACCAGCATCTGGCTCGTATCTTCTCAGAATATCTAAGAGGAGATACGCCCATTCCTGGATGGCTTGTTGAAGGGCGTACTGTGCTGATCCCCAAAAGTGGTGATCTGTCTAACCCCAAAAACTACAGGCCTATTGCATGCCTAAATACTCCCTACAAATTGTTTACGAAGATTTTGAACGAGAGGATTTTGACTGCAATAGAACCTGTATGGAGACAGATAAACGAACAACGTGGCAGCAAACGTGCAGCAAACAACTACAAGCGCAACTTGTCAATGGCCTGGGTGGATTACAGAAAGGCATTTAATACAACATCACACGAGCTTCTCCTCTACTTGCTCGAATGCCTTTCAGTACCTCCAGACGGTCTAAGGCTTTTGCAATTGACCAGAGGGCAACGAAAGGTCGATATAAAAACAACCGAGCAGTTAAAACTGCTCGACGAATATGTGGCAAAGTCCGTACATGGTGTGTTTTACCGTCATCTCGAAACACAGGTTTTGGCCTGTTCCTAAAAATAAATCTGAACTTAGAAGTTTTCTAGGTCTTTGTTTCCATTACAGGAAATTCGTCAAAGATTTTGCTACTATTGCAAAACCATTATATCTTATTAGTCAGGAAAAGGAAGATTTCATTGAGGATGATGTAGCTTTTCAAACGTTTTAAAAATTGAAACAAATTTTGACTTCTACTCCAATTTCGGGTTATCCTGATCCAAATTATCCTTTTATTCTTGATACTGATGCTTCGAATATTGGCATTAGTGCTGTGTTATCTCAAAAGATTCCAGTTGATCGTAATGGTGTTCTTCTGTTTATGAAGAAAAAGTTATTGCTCACTTTAGTATGACTTTAAATAATCGAGAACGTAACTATTGTGTTACTAGGAAAGAATTATTAGCTGTTGTTATTTCTGTTGAACATTTTCGTCATTTTCTTCTTGGCAAGAAGTCCACTATTAGAACTGATCATGCCTCTCTCACTTGGTTACTTTCTTTTGAAAATCCTCAAGATCAAATAGCTCGTTGATTTGAAATCTTATTTCAATATGATTTCGAAGTTCAACAAAGACCTGGTCATAAACATGGCAATGTTGATAGTCTATCTCGGCGTCCATGTGATTCTAAAAAATTTCTCACAATAGATTCTGATGAAAAATGTGATAGTGGGCATATTTTCCGTGTCATTTGTGAAATTAATAATGATTCTGATTGGACCAAATTTCAAAATGAAGATAACATTTTAAGTTTAATTATTAAATTGTAAAGATTACCCGAAGTGAGCATAAAAGCAAACACCCTTACCGACCGTACACCCGATAATTCTTCCGAGCGACACCGGCAGCACCGTCACCACCGCATGCTGGGGACCGCTGCTGAGTGGGGATCGCCCAGGATATAAGGCCGTGCTGAGCGGCCAGACGGACATTCCGCTCCGAGGCATCACTCGGAACACTACAGGTGAGGCATACTACCTACCAGAGGTCTTATCCCAAAACACTGAGGCATCACCCAGTATTTGTGAGGTCTTCACCCACCAGGAGGTTGTAACTCCGTCACCGCTGAGGCATTACCCAGCCGTTTGTGAGGTTGTTACCCACGAAGAGGTTATAACCCCGTACCGCCGAGGCATTTCCCGGCCAACTGGGTGAGGTCTTCACCCACCAGGACCCCAAGGTTCTCCCTATCTCCGTCGTCGTGGACGTGACCTGGCACCGTATTCCGTGTAACCCCGGGTAGACAAAACTGAGGTTATAACCCAGCAGTCTGGTGAAACACCAGGCTGACCGGTCCCATCAAAAAGGCAGAGGTCTTACCCCAACGCCGAGGTTGTTACCCGGCACTCGCGCCGCGGCAAGAAGACGGTGGTCATCACCCCGTCGCCGAGGTCGTTACCCGGTGCAGTACTGCTTCAACAGGACGGAGGTATTACCCCGTCGCCGAGGTCTTCATCCGGTCAATCGCCATTTGCCAAACTTACCCGACACCAGGGGCCGATCCCCTGGGGTGTTGGAAGGGGAGGTCATATCCTTACCTCTAGAGTCACGCGTCCAGTTCACACCGTTGTTGCATGCGTCATTCGGGGTCGTAACCCCATCCTGGTGTGAATTGAAGTAAAGAGGGCGTGCACCTCCGGAGAGAAGAGACCTCCCCTCCAGAACCCGTTACCCCGCCGATCACCCAGACCACCGTTACCGACTCTCACTTCGGGTACTCCGTCCGTCTAATAATCTTGCTAGCAACAGCCAATAGGCACCTGGTTAACCGATCTCCGACTCCGCCATTGTTTTTCGAGATTCACTTTAATTTTGTTTATTTTTGTCTTGTTCATTTACCTAAATTCTGTTTTATTAATAAAATTCTGAAAATATAACTTAACTAATTGAATTCAATTATCGAGACCGTTACCTCCCCCCTCCACAGTAAATACAAGAATCCTGGACTCGACGAGCTGGAGGCACGTGGAGGGTATTACTTCCTCTAGAATCTGGGGAAAAAGTTCACTACAAAATTTAAAAAGGAAAATAAAGTTCCCGAGTTCAATGATGCTTCACATTTGGATTCTACTTTTAATATTCATTTACTTTATTGGAATTCTTGAGAATTGAAAAATGGTGTTTTAGTTAAATGTTAGGAAGCTCCAAATCTTTCTTATATTATTTTTCAGGTTGTCATTCCTCGAACTAAAGTGAATGAAACAATTTATGAGGCTCATAGTTTTCCTTCTGGTGGACATTATGTTATTAATAAAACGATTCCAACAATTCATCAACGATTTTTCTGGGCAACTCTTAAACAAGATGTTAAGATTTGGTGTAAAAAACGCAAAGTTTGTTTCGCTAAAAAGGGTCTCTATAAAAAGTCTAAAGGTCAACTTAAAATTTATAATGTTAGTTCTCCTTTTGAAAGGGTTGTCATCGATAATCTTGGTCCTCTTACTAGAACCTCCTCTAGAAATAAATTTTTACGGATTGTTACAGATTATTTTACTAGATGGCCTGAGGCGATTCCTCTGCCTAATCATCAGGCTTCTACTATTGCTGAGGCTTTAGTAACTCAAATATT